TCTCAGAGCTGCTGCAAAGGTAAATAAGTTAATATTCATCAAGCACTCAGAAACAATACCTGGCACACAGAAAACATTCAATAAATTTTAACTACGATTTTTTTAAACAATCTTATAGTCTGTATTTGAATTCACAAGTGCCTCCAAAAAACGTTGACCAACAATGGACATTGTGGGCATCTCTGCTTGGTTTCTGATTTTAATTTAAAAATCTTTATTATTTAGCCACTTAGAGTCTAGTTGTTACTGAGTTTTCTTATTTATCATATCTTTGTTGTTTCCTATCACAGATTTAAACATGGAATGGCTGCATTATACTAAGTGATGTTTCAGCAAACTATCGACATGTTTTTTTCCTCTTTTATTTTGTTGTAATATGATAAATTATGCAGATACATTTTATGATAAAAACCTATCCTTAAACTCCTAGAAGTCTTACCTGTTTTTTTCACATATTGTTGGATGTAGTTTGCTAATATTTGAGTCTATATTCATCAATGAGAATTATCGATAATTTTTCATATTCTGTCTTTTGCTATTAATTATGTTGGATTCATAGAATGAGTTGTAGAAATTTCAGCCTTCTTTGTGGTGTGGAATAGTTTAAACACATTGGTGTCATCTGTTCTTTAAAGGCTGGATAGAAGCCAACCATGAAACTCTCCAGACCTGGAGCCTTTTGAAAGCTCTTGCATCACTTTCCGGTTTAGCTACCCAATCCACTGAAGTCTCATTTCTTCTTGGGTTTAAACTACAATTAACTGACTCCTTTTCTCTGTTGCCTTTCCTCACATCTGTATGAAATACATTATGAGATAAACAAAGGTAAAGACAATCTAGTCACTGCCATCAACAGATTCTCCATGTAGAAGGGGAAATAAAAAGCATTTATAGACAGTCACCCAATAAAAATTCCTATTTAGTTTTCCTGTTCAGTAGTGTCTCCTTTCCAAACCACCCTAAACTATACTGCAACAGTGATTAAGTGCACACACACACACACACACACACACACACACACACACAAGCCATCAACAGATTCTCCATGTAGAAGGGGAAATAAAAAGCATTTATAGACAGTCACCCAATAAAAATTCCTATTTAGTTTTCCTGTTCAGTAGTGTCTCCTTTCCAAACCACCCTAAACTATACTGCAACAGTGATTAAGTGCACACACACACACACACACACACACACACACACACACACACATGAGTTGTGTACACACACGTGCACACAGGGAGTTCTGATTATGTCACCCCATGGCCTACAAAATAAAGTCTAAAGACTTATCCTAGCACTCAGGGCATATAATTTGGCCCCAGGCTACCTCTCTATTCTTGCCTCCCACTGCTTTTCTTCATGCAAATTCTCTTCTGGTTCAACTAGACTATTTGCTATTTCTCTAAACTCCCTTTCCTTCTCTTTCTCCTACCAAACAACATATTCTTTGATATTCCCTTCTCTAGCAATTTCCTTATCTCCATTCTCCAACTTATGCCCATTCTTCAAGGATAACTAAAATGCTACTACCTCAAGTCCCCTCAAGACAAAAATAAAGAACCTGTACAAGGACCACACATGGTGTTTGTATCTCAAATGACAGCACTACTATGCAGTAGAACCAACAGAGGTAAGAGCACAGGCTCAAGAGTCACATGGCCTGGCTTCAAACAGCTCATCACATCAGTGGCTTACTACTCTGACCATCAGCATCCTCCTCTGTAAAATGCAGTTGCCTCATGGCAATCACTATTCAGAGAACATTCTGTATATGCTTGGAACATAGAGGTCACTCTGCCTAACATGAATGTACAATTTAACTCTTCTGCTAGAGTATCACTGAGCAAGAATCAAGGATTTTGTTTTGACTTTAAGTACATTTCTATATCCCTTACCCCATCTAGCACTGATCTTCGCAAACTGCAGAAAGTCAATGAATATCTAAACCAATTGATTTCCACTGTCTTTAACTTAATATCAAAACAACCCCAAGAAAGCAAGAAAACTAAAACCTCTAAAAGTAAGACACAGCCCAGCCACATTTATCATAATCATTTCTCCTGCTTCTTCTACCTCCCCTGCATTTACCAGACCAGACCCTGTAATATGAGCTTCGGAATTTCACTGACTCCACACCTGGATCTTAAGAATTCAGCACTATTATTAAGATCCTACAAGTGAGGAACATGAGGCTAAGCCAGGCAAGTAACTGCTGACGACAGCTCAGGCCTTCATTTCGCGTACACTTATCGAGAGGCTGCAGACTTTACTCAGTCTGATTCCAAAGCATGTTTAAGGAAAATCTTTAGGTTCTCATCCTGAAAGCAAAATGAAGAGTGGTAGTGTCTTTCTTCCATTTAGTACCACTCACTACAGGCCAAATGCTATCTGTGGCTTTGATTTAAAATTATCAATCAAAATAAGTAAAGCAATCATATTTACAGCCATATGTAACATTTTTTCCTTAAAGACTAATCTTTAAAATAGAAACCATTAAAAGGAATTTAAAAAAATGTAATCTGAAGATTTTACACACACACACATTAACGAAATCCAAATCCCCTAATAATTCACTGACTGGAAGAAACACTCACGCTAGAGGTGCAGCATAAGCTGATCAGTAACCAGACCTTAAGCTTTACCAGTGCTAACACCAGTAGTACAATTTAAGAAAAAATTAATGTAAAGAGGCACCTAACACTAGTGTGTATTTATCACACTCCTGTGACACAGGAGCCCACACTGAAAGTTGGAGAACTCAATTACCTCAGTGTTCCTCAGCAGAAAGAAACCTGCACTTAAAAACTATGCAAATCCTAAAGATACCCTGTCATGCACAGCCATCACCCGGGTACTTCTCAAGGCCCCTGTCACATAGGTCTTCGGCCTCATGAGCCACAGCGAGGCCCATGCTGCACACTGGAACCTCTCTACACTTAGCTCAGTACCGTGACCTGGTGGCATCTTCCTGGAGCTGCTCGGGAAGGCTGACAGGCAGAGGACAGGAAGTTCCAGGCCCTTGGCCAGCAGGGCAGAATGGCGTGGAACGTAACACACTGGCAGCTTCTGCTGTTTACATGGCCTTCATGAATGTCACATGTACAACTTGAGAAATGCAGGCTACCTAGGACCCAGGCACATTCCTCTTAAATAGTAAGTAAAAATAAGTTTAACTGAGGGTGCTTTGTTAGATCAGTTTCCAAGCACAGCCAGTAGCTTTCAGTTGGACATGTGGGCTCTCCTATTTTCAACCAACACACACAGTCTGACTTTAAGTCAGCCAATAAATATTCTCAATTCCAACTTAAAATATGCTGTATGGTATGCTACCATCAAAAAAGAAAAAGCACAAATGGATGCCCCAAATGTAAATTTTATATATAATATGGCTGCTTTTTAAAACAAAGTAAGACAGTGCCAATGGTTTAAAGAATTTTCTTTACCTTGGGTGTTTGTACCTGAATAAAATCCAAGCCATGTGACTTAATTTATCATCTTTATTTGCTCTAAGGTTCACAATATTCTAAATTAAGTAAAACTTTAACCTGCAAAAACCTACTGGAAAATAACATTTACTCTGACATCACTGCCAATTTTTGTAAAACAGTAGAAGAAACTTACTTGGGCTTTACATCTTTTTAATTTCTAGCTATCTCTGATAACTTTATGTTGCTTATTCTGACATTGACGCTCCTTTCAAATGCTCCAGTCTCCAAAATCTTAAGAATTCCTAAACCAGGTATTGGATGATAATCTACTATGTTTTGCAAAAGATTAACAACACAAATATGCTGAGTATTAACCTGTTATAAGAGATTAGAAATATGAAATATGAGGTTTATCTGACAAACACATATTTTTATATTTTGAAGTTTTTTGTAAGGGATTCTGCCTTCAGCTGGAAGAAACCCATGATCTTTTGGGCCTTTTATAAAGCACTGTATCAGAATGGTTTGCTCACTATAGTAGCCAAACAAGATATATAGATGGATAAGAAAAATGTCAATATAATTTTCCTTCTTCCCCACCCTGAAGTAACACTAAGAATCTGACAGATACTTTTCCAAGTCTGCTCACACACATACACCTCTATAAATACAAGCAGATGTTTTCTTATTTTTAAAAAATGATGTCATACAATAAATATATTCCTGTGAAACCTGCTTTTTAAAACATGCAAACATGTACAGACATCCCTTCAAGTCAATCCACACAGCTGATCCTTCTCAGGTATGTGGAGTACTAAGAGTTAAAATGATTTAAGTAAAGTCAACAAAAGAGACCCTGCCCATTTCCCTGGAGACCTGAGAAAAAATTTTAAACATATTTTAAACATAAATCAGAGCTCAAAAGGGTAGAGGAGAACAAACAGAAATCTCCTTTTGGTTCACAGAACCATATCTTAGATAGGACTCAAAGCTCTTTGTTGTTTTAATTGTGGAAATCACATCAATGATCTGAACAAAATGTGTACTCCAGAGAACGGAGGCTATTCAGGTAGGACCAGAAAGGCTCAGATCCAGACGTGTGGCACTGCCCGCACACAAGCCCTGACCACCTGCTGCCTGGCCAAAGCCAGTGCTCTGACCCCACACGAAAAGATACTGCTGGCCCATCGCAGCATCTCTTCCTCTCCCAGGAATGGGAGGTGGGACACGCTGGGAACACCCCAATCAGAACCAGAACCGAAAGTGGACATGAAAAGGACGCAAGCGGAAGTGTCAGGAGGTAGACCGGGACTGTTGGCTCTAACTCTAAAGAACTTGCAAATTTTTTATATTCTTTGAAATTCTGGAAATAATTTCTAGCCCTTAGGCTGTATGAAGACATTCTGTTCCCTGGTCTGGATTTGAGGTCAGCTTCATTCTGACACGGGGAAGTTCAGGACAGCTTCTACTTTTTAACCGCGAGCGCTCTCTACGACCTGCCCTCCCTAACTCTCGAACCCCGCCCGGGAAGCGCTCTGACCGTGCTCTGACAGCCGGCAGCGGACCCACCTGTGCAGGAAGTGCAACTTGTGCATGGCGGCCAGCCCCGCGGTGATCTCACACGCCATCCGCTGCAGCAGCATCGTCTGCGAATCCCCCCGCGTGGGCTCACTGCGCAGGTAAGCTTTTAGGTCGCCCTGCAAAAATTCATCCAGCTCAGTTTCTCAAGTGGACTAGGCGAACAAACCGACACCTGAACATGTGCCTTAGTTGACGTTAACTGTTAAGACGTATTAGAAACTACTTAGATTTGAGCTTAATAAAGAGTCTCAGACTGAACAGCTTTCAAATTACGAAAAGTAATTCCATCCAAATACTTCAAAGGTACAGAAAACACTACTATCCCTTAGGAGCATTCCAACTAAATTACACATTAGTTTATCTTTGTTATATAAACATGATAAACAAAACAGTAGAAAACAAGGTAATTTTTCAATGATGCACAATACAAGTTAGGTGAAATACATAAATTTCCAGGTGACTGAGATGATAAATAAGAGTAGAAGAGATGGTGCCATTCGCACTGCCTTCAAGGAATCTAGGAGACAGAGCTGGAGAACATGACATCAGGAAGACAACTGCAAAAGCACCCTAGCAATGGAGAGAGAGACTCCAAGAGAAATGGGTGGCAAAGGAGGCAAAAGAGCGTTCAAGTGCTGGTGACAACTGCATCAGGTCTCTGCCAGCTTCCCCAGGGAGGCCACAGTGAGAAAGAACATTCCAGTCCCTCCAGAAAAATCCCTTAAATTGATAAGCCCAGCCAAAGATTGGCAGTGTGGGCAGCAAGATGAGCCTGTTCACACTGACACCCGGCCATACCTCAGTGCTGGGCTCTCTGGGTCCTCCTGCCCCTCCCCGACAGCACCCCAGCTTCGTTTCATGACTTTAATTTAGGACTGTATTATGTTTTGGGAGGTTTATAATTTATCTGTTTTGGGGAATAAACTTTTAAGGAAATAAAATCTTCCATGTTCTCCTTACCATGATTAAATATTTATTGACATGACTTAATTCTAAATTAAAGCTTTATATAATCTGTTAATAAAATTTAGAAAGCAAGCCAAAAGCTTTTAATTTTCTTTATATCTTCTAGTCAAGAAAAGATTCCTGAGGAAGGAAATTTTCCTTGACAAACTAAGGACTTTAATACTTTTCTTCTGCTACTGGAAATAGCGAATTTATCAAATTCCTTCCAGAATAAAACCTTAAAACACAATATTCCTTTACAAACATTTGCCCACTTTTAATACTAAGTACATTCTAATGTAACTTCTAGGTCCACTCCAAGAACCTAAATTTGTTTCAAAGATCTTCATATGAATGAATGACTGCGGATAATAATCATTACCATCTGAACTTCTGAGCAGTGTGCCAAGCACCATGTTAGGAGTTTGTACACCTATTAACTCCAATACTCTTACAGTCTGAAACATATTTCAGACACAGAACTGAGGTTCTGGAAGGTTAAGGGATGTGCCCGAGGCCAAAGAGCTAATAATTGGTGGGGCTGCACGTCTACTTTTTAGCTTATCACCTTGTCAAGAAAAGTCTGTTTAGTGAGTACATGAAATTAGTGTGCAGATTAAATCAATTTATTTTATAAGAATGGATGTAAGATAATTTAAAGCCAACCACAAGGATTTGTAGGCTTCTCCCAAGCTTAATGCACCTGATCTGCCGGGAAGCAGTTCTGTCCCCTCAGTATGCCCACCCACACATCACTGTCTTCTGATTTCTTTCCAAACATAGGGCTTTCTCCTTTTGTTCCCACTGCAATTACAAGCTGCTCCAGAGGAAAAACAGATGCCTTTTTTTCCTTTTAAAAATACATGCTGCTCCCTGCCACAACCCCACCTTTCACCCATGTTAGGCTCTATCCAGACATGGCAAGGGTAGGAATAAAGACAGACCTGGATGACAACTAAATCAACTGAGAAAAACTCCAGCAAAAAGCTCCAGCCTGCAGGCTAAAGGATTTTCATGAGGTAGCCCATAGGGGAACTAAATATAAAATAAATAACTTATTTACACTACCAATGAAATGGCAATGTATATGCATTTGTCCATTCTCTTTCCTGCAATATCCATCTAAAGGAAAAATTACGCCCAAACAAAAGTAGGATTATGCTGCGCTGTGTCTGGCCAGTTCCCAAAACAAACAGAAGCTGGTGACAGACAATGAACACTTCCTAAGTGACTCTGGCCTTGAAGGCAGGAATGGCAGAATGGGTAGCCTTATTTTTTTCAAGGTTATCTAAAGTGTACTCACTACCACTCACTGTTTTTAAAATATCTTCTCTCCACAAGACTGCACTTCGCAAATTTCACTAGAGACAAAATGTAATAAACAGAAGAGGATTTTGTTTAAGAATGCGGCGGACACTCCTAGTGATTCTAGCTTGGCAAAAACTAAAAGCCAACCCCCCACCCTTTGGGGGAGAGAAACTTAGCACAATCCAGGCAAACATATCTCTACCCTGGGGCTAGGAGTTAACATTGGTAATTACCGAGGAGCCTCACCACTGGTTCTCATGGACAGACCTGTGATGGATTGCCTAGGGTCCAGGGTTATTTCTATGTTCTAGAAAGATCCTGATAGTGCTACTGTACCATGGTTTAAAATAAAAATGAGAACAAAATCCTAAGTACAACAAAAATGCTTATATTAAATAAGCACTTAAAAACTGATTCATTCTATCCAAGACAGACAAAGCTGTATTTAGGCATCTGGTTTACTTTATGTCTTAATGGTGCTTAGAGAGTAGACAGGGATTGTACTTTGGTCCATTATTTAAAGAAAAAAACACTAAGAATAATAAATTATGAATTTAAATAAAGTTCTCTTTATCCAAGTTTTTTAAATTTCTCAGATCCTTCCCCAAATCCCCCCAAAAAACGCAAAAGGAAAATTTGTGGCACTAGATGGCAGCAGAGTGCTATACTAAGAATTCAGACAACAGTGCAGCGCTCAGAATGAGTCGCTGGAGACCTTCCCAGGGGTTCCTCACTAGTGACCTCTTAAATCCCAACATACATGGCCACAAGGGTTTTATCCAGCTTTCTGCAGGATACTGAGAACAATGAATTAATTTCAATACAACATCAAAAAAGTTAGTAGTTTTATGACTGAAAATTCAGTCATTTATGTTTAATAGAATGATTCTGGGACAAAATTTATGATTTTTAAACAAAAATTTGAATGAGAGGATGAATGAATGGCATCAACAGCCACATACTCAGCACCAGCTGAGGAAGTAAAGCACCACATCAAGCTGAAGGCCCTGGGTCCCCCGTCCAGCCACATGGCCTTGGATCCCACCCTTTTCTACCGGTCAGGCCTCTGCGGGCTCCCAGCCCTGGGCCACACCCTCCACCTCATCTTCTGTCAGCAGGGATGGCTCACCTCTGCTCCAGCGAACTCAGGTAAATATCACAAGGAACCCAACAAGCGGCCTCCACACCCTTCCCCGCTTCCCTCTTTCCTTCACAGAAAACTCCTCAGAAGCCTGCTCTCTTCTGCTTGGCACTCCTCCTGGCTCCCACTCTCTGGTGAACCACTGCCCCCACTGGCCACCTCTCCAAATGCATGGCCACTGGGTGGGTGTCTCACCAGCACAGCCAAGTGACAGCTGCCCCATCCCCCTCAGCTGCCCACATCAGGCCTGACCAGGCAGTGTTGTCGTTCAGCACAAGCGTCCCCTCTGCTGGCCCTGTTTTGGGGACACTGTCCACACACACCTCTGTTCCACTGTAACTCTGTGTCCTCTTTTCTGCACAGTTCCTCAGAGGCAGAAACATGTCCCTCACCTAGACATGCAGGGACCCTGTGCATGAGCTTACCTAATGAACACACAGAGAAATGAGACATGTCTGTTCACAGGTATTTTTCGTACAGAACACCAATTCTAAAACGGAGGCTTCCCACTGGTGGAAAAAGTATGTGCAAGTATTAACCACCTAGTACAAAGCACTGTTAAAGCCCCGCTTTGCCACTAGTAATCGTGTGGCCTTCAGCATTGTTTCCTGGACAAGAAAAGAAGACCAGAGAGCCCAGTCCTGACACCAGACAGACCTGGGTTTTGTTCTTCAATGAGCCCCTTCACCTGTCTCAGCCTGTTTTTGTACCTGTAAACTGAAGCCACTGCCACTCATCTCACAGGCTCTCAGGAAGACTCATTTAACAAGTGGCCACTTCCAAGTACCCAGCACAAGGCCTGGGCCTTACTCCCCTTCATGGAGCAGTCAACGGTCCTGCAGCGCTGAGCCTAGGATTCAAAGTACCATCACTTCCCCCGGAGAACAGAGACAGCAAATCCCTGAGGAAGAGGCTGCACTGAAGACCACCACATGGCCCCCTTCCTGCTCTCCCTTGGCTACTGACTCCTGTCAGGAATTCACTTGGGCTGACCATCACAAAGGAAACCTGTACACGACATCAAGGACACTCCCTTGCGAAGGAAGAGCCATTTCCATTAGAGTCAGGTTCACAGAGTGAAACAAACTGCTGACTCTTCAGAACAATGAAGACACAGCAGATTAACCTATGCTCTCCTTTTCATCCCTGAGCTGGCAATCCGGTCAAAAAAAACGTCCGTCTGCATTTCACCCTTCCAATGGTCTTTCCCCAGGATATGCCAACTTGCTCCTCCTAACATGCACTCCACCCCAGCTCCTCACCCCCGAGGCACCACCTGTTGCTCCCCTGGCACACACACTGCCGAGCTTCCCCACCGGGCTGATGATGTTCCTGCATGAGATCAAGCCAACCACTCTTCCACACTCAGATAAAACCCCTGATCCTAATTAAAACTGCTACAATTCCATACTCCCTACTCAAACCTTTACCTAGTAATTATGATCATTTAAGTAACGAAAAGTGAATAAGAATAACTACTATTTCCTGAGTGCATATTATGTGCTCAGCAATCTACATTAACCCCTTTGTTAATGGCCAGCGTAGTCTACAGGGTAGGCAGTACTGTCCTCATTTTACAGATGTCTAAACTGAGGCTTAGGGAGGTCACTTCCCAAGGTGACACATAAGTAATAGCAGCTGAAGGCAGCCCCCCTGGCTTTACAGGCAGGAAAGGGAGGGACAAGGGGACTCACCTGTCCCCCTTGAGCACAGCTCTTTGTA